GTGCTATCTTTGCAACTTTTCTGTAAATCTAACATTATTCCAAAATAAAATTTTTATTTTAAAAATGCATAGGAAAATAAAGAGGAAGAAACCAGCCCAGAAAGGATAGAAACACAGAGTTTCATAATAAACACAGGGTTTTGTAACTAACACACCAAATGTCCTGTCTTGATGATAATTTAAGAGGAGAAAGTTTTAAAGTAGGAGGTAGTAGCTCACATGCAATGAAACTAAGGTGAATGAACAAGAATGAAAAAGCCTAGAGAGCAGTGGGCAGGGGACAAATATCCCTAGGATATTACCGACGGAATTATATACCGCCAGAGCCCTTCTGGAAAGCAATTTTGCAATAAGTGACAGAAGCCATAAGCCGATAGCCCTTGACCTGGTAATTCCAGTTTTAGCAACCTGTACCAAAGCAATAATTTAAAAGAAAAAAAAAGCCACCTACTTTTATGAAGCTGTAGCTCTGCTCTGCAGTACCAGAAATTGTTCCTATGGTCACTGGGTGTCTGGACAGATTACAGTGCTATTAATTAAGTGGACTATTATAATGGAATGAAGAATGGCAAATCTGCGCATTGTGAAAAGGAACACGTAAAACAACTTTTTAAAGAGTTTGGTACATGCAGTGTAGTATCCTAGGTTGGGTTCTGGAACAGAAAAAGGACATCAGTGGAAAAATGTGAACGAAGCCTATTTTAGTAGTTAATAATATGGTATCAACACTAACTTCTTAATTTGGATATTTGTCCATGATTATGAAGACATTATAACTGAAAGATAGGTGAAGGGTATGCGGGAATTCAATCTTTGTGACTTTTCTATAAACCTATAATTATTTTAAAATAAAAAGGTAAAGAGCTCAGCATCATGTACAAACTCAAATGCACATACTGCAATCAAATAAAAAAATATTTACTGTATAAAAATTAGGCAGGCTCAAAAAACACTGTCAGAATTATAAAAATATCTTGCTCTTTGCTCATTCATGTGGCTACTTAGATGTTTCACTGAATGACTGATAATCAAGACGCTCTGACTCAGAGTGTCCAGAGAGGATTCCTGTATCCACAGCCTGAGAGTCTAAAAGATGACTTTCATCTGTTCAGCATGTAAGTTTCATTTAGGGAGCAAGGAAGACATTTTCCATAACAATCTTTCTAGTAATCATTCCTCAGGGACAATATTTAGAATTCCATCATACATGAAACTATTATTAATTTAATTAATTTAAACTATATAAATATTACTTTCCTAAGAAAAGGGTATCTCTGCTTGTATGGGTGGCACTCAGTTCCCAGGTCCTTCGCAAAATGACAGAATGGAAAGGGTTAACTAAAGATAACCTTTAGCTCCTTAGATCTGTGTGAAGCTTGCACATCTGGGAATATAGATCTTGCCAGTTCTCCCTCCTTGGGTGCCCCTGGCAGCATTAAATAGGTGAGGAGTGACTAAGGGAGTAGATGGGAGGGGCCAGAGGGCAGTGGTGATGGGGCATCCCTCCAAAGTGGCCTCATCCAAGTCAGCTCTAAACCAATGGAATTCCTCCAAATTTGTAAAACATAATTCGTTTAGTGTCACTGGATTTTGAAACAGCTATCATTTGGCAGGATCATCCTGGCATTTCCTGCAGGGTTTCCCTTGGCCCTCTTCCATCGGAGGGGTGAGAGGAGACACCCTGCATCCAGAGAAGCACAGTGAGACGCCTCAAATTCCTCAAAGGGACGCCCTCTGCGTGGAGCACCTATACCGCGTGGCTCTGTTGATCACCAGCCACACGGATGAGCTCCACTCCAGCCCCAACCTTCTCCTGCTCTGACCCAGCTGTTATTGTAAGCCTGGTGGAAATTACACCACTGAGGGATGGTCTGAAAAAACCTGTGGCCCATCCACTCCACTCCTAGAGTCCAGAGTTCATGTCTGCCTCAAGCCAGACCAGAAAGCTGGTCCACAATGTCACAGTCCTCCACCACTTTACTTGAAATGGGTTTGTCCTTTGCTTCCAGTAAGTAATGCTATGAAATGCCAGCTGGCAAAATCCAAGCTTCTATGTATCTATATATACTTAGAGTACTGCTGAGGACGCTGATCACATTATTGGATGGCAGTCCTTTAACGAAGCTCCAAGTGAGACTTTTCTTTGGACAGTCTAATAAGCAGGGGCTCTGGAGCCAAACGGCCTAGATTCAAATCCTGACTCCACTGTTTAACTAGGTGTTGAAGTCTCCATGCCTCAGTCTCCTCGTCTGCAGTATGGAGGCAATGATACTCAGCCCCCTGAATTTTCATAAGGATAAAGGTCAACAGCAATGAAGTCTTCAGGAGCACGCTTGGCAAAAAGTTAGCACTCCATAAATACTCATTATTATCGTGATTTTATAATGGGGCACTAGCAAAACCGTTACGTCCCACGAGGAGCTGAGACGTTTTTGCCTTACGCACAGAGTGATTCACAGAAAGCAGGGTTCTGAAGTCCTTTCCCCTCCCGACAGGCGTGGGATCCTCAAGGATGACAGTGACTTTCCGTAGCGTGGGGGACCTTCAGAATCTAGGGTGGGGCGAGGGTAGTAAAAAGCACATGTGGTTTGGGTAAGTCCTTTTAAGATCTGAAGATACCTTTACGGGGATTTGTGCCATTCACCTAAAGAATTCTCAATGTAAATAATCACCAAGAGGCACAAAGATAAACCCAAAGGTTGGCTTTCGTAACTGTGATGAGTCCTGCGATCTAAAAAGCTATGTATTTCCCTTTTCCCCAGTCTGCTCAGTCCTAACTCAGTCTCCTGTCCCAGTACAGACAGATGCACTGCTTATTCCCTTACACTTACTGTGCCTTTTAAAGAAAGTATTTGTTCTTTCTTATACATCTCCTCAGATCTTTTATGGACCAAAGTAGGATATAAAAGACATAATACAATACATGTGCCTTTTTGTTTAGAACTAAGTACAACTTCAGTAACTTAGGAGAAAGCTGAGCTTCCTTACTAACAGGAACGAGTTCCTAACAGGTGCTGGAACAGACAGGCTGGTAACAGAACAGTGGCAGGTCAAGAGTTCAGAAAGCAAGACAACTGGGAGGGAAGAGAGAAAGTGCCGTCTTAGGCGACAGCTCAACCAGGCCTCCTCTTCCTGCCCCCAATTCCATCCCCACGCCAGGCATCACCCGTCAGTTCCACACTGGGCTTTACAGACGGTGCGCACTCAGCCCTTACAGGTGGAGAAGGACGGCGGGGCTGCTCGCCCCTCCTCCTGCAGCCTTTGCTGGTAGCCCTTGTAAAACACCTGGTAGCAAAGCCGATTATTCACAGCCCGCCTTCCTGTTTTACAGCATCCCTTCCTTTTCCTGCCGTAAAATTTATCTTTAAAGGCCAGCGTGTCAGCAGCAGCCCAGGCACTTGTTCAGAACATCGCTGGCTTGTCACCCGCTCAGGCTGTGCTCAGAATGAAGCCGAGGAGACTAGAAGCAGCCCCGGATTCCTGCAGAGCCCACGGCGAGATGGCAGCTTCCAGCCAAGGAGCCGAGGTTTTGAACCTGCACGGTGCTCCCCACTTAACCACTGCTCCAGGAACCTGTTTGCTGTCTTCCTCATAGACACAGAACTGCTTTGGGATCCAGAAAAGCATCTAGGTCCAGCTACATAAATTGCAAATGAAAATGAAACATGCAAAATGAAAATGCTGGGCCCCCTGTTGAAAAGGCGGGCCGGGGTGAGGAGTAAAAGTCGTAAAAAGTATTCAGACATGAAGTTTTTCCTCCCTTCTGCACTCTCTCTCTCAGCTTCTCATGGTGCTTTCTGTTTGTTATTTAATGTCGTGCTACCTCGGGCATAGGGTTACTTGTAGGGTGAGCTCGGACCGTCACAGGCTGCCCACCCCCACAGACCATCACCTGCCGGGCCGACACACCATGCCCTGGCCAGGGGTGGAGAGACTGAGCCAGGAATCCCCCTCACTTTCCCCGGACCCACTCCCCCAGCCCACAGCAAACGGGGGACCCTCGAGTGTACTGTAACACCTGTGCCAGGACACGCTAGGGACCTGGACTGGGAGTGCACAAGGCCCCACTGAGTCACCCACTGAACACAGCGCTGTACAGCAGCCAAGCTGGGCAGGCCACCACTCTGCCCCTTCCCAAGACACCATGGAGTTTGTGTGCCTGGCACCAACTCTCTCCAGGCCAGCACCTGGGCCCCTAGAAGGGTGGAAGGCAACACTCATTGCTGGGTCAGGGCAGGGACGGGGAGGTTGGCAGGGCCTGAGGTGCCAAGGAGCAGGGGAACAGACACCCTGGGGAGGTGGCGAGGTGACAGGACTGTGCACAAGCCAAGGCTCCAACCCCTGAGCACACTCCATGCCCCACTGGACTTCACTCACAGAACACAAAGTCAAAGATAAAATTGTTAAGAACATCCAGAGAGCAACAGCACAGCGTTAACGCCAGGACCCGATTCTCAGCGCGGGGCTCTGTGCACCCGTACTGGCCGCACACCCGTCATGCTGGCCCTGCTGCTTCCCCACCAGAAGTCCAGAGCAAAAGCCACTCTCCCTTTCCATCAGAAAACAGGCCTGTGTTTATAACACGGATGGCAAGGAGCTTCCACTTTGCACAGGTGTGAGGCTGCCCTGGAGGAGGTGGGAGTGAGGGGTCTGGACCACCTGTTCAACCACCCCTCCCTCAGCCTTGCAAGGCAGAGCCTGGCTTATCTTCAAAGGCTTCTGAAGTCCACCTTGAACAATAATTTCAACTTACCACACTACGAAGATCTGACATAGTGAGAGACAGGCAGAGCTGTGATGATTACAGAAATCTTCCCAAACCTAACTTGGCCGAGGAATTCACTTTAAGTGCTGGGGAGATTAGCAATGAGAGAGGACTAAGGGGTAATTCCTTATTAAGTGGCTCTGGGTTGATGGTTTGTAAAAACAGGGCTGTCATCCAAAGTCATTATTTTAATGCAAGACATAACCTGGTCGCTGAAAGCACATTTCTCACAAACCTTGGCTTCCGGGTCACTGTTGATGCTACAAGAATCATCGTCGTCAGCATGCGGGGCATTTCTAGAAAGAAAAACAGAAAACTGGGCTTAGAATTGTGCAAACTCCAGCTGCACAAAGCCACATGCTACGGCAGGTCCTTCCAATGTCCTACCTGAGTTTCAAGGATGCATAGCGTAGTGTTGCTCCTTCAAATTCTTTTAAACTGGGGTCTGGGTTGACTGTGGCTGCATGCAAATCCTAGAGGAAAAGAGACCCTGTTAATGTACAAAGGGGGAGGGCCCGTTACATGGGCTCAAATATCAAAGGGGAGAGCAGTCCTCCCGGCACGAGGCAGAGTGTATGTGAGCTTAGGCAGAAAAAGGCATGCGTGGGCTGCTGATGCTGGCTCGGTGCACTGAAGTCATTCACAATGGGAGACATCAAAACAGGTGACATGTGTGAGCCCCACAGCCCGAGCCAGAAGCCCCGTCACTCCGTCCCTGCAGGACGCGTGGTATTCACAAAGAAGGAGATGCAGCCACAGCCATGCAAAAAGGACCAAATAGTAAATGTGTTAGAATCCAACAATATACTTGCCTTCCAAATGTCACTATTAATCTTTCCCCCATTCAGAACAGCAAAATCACTCCATGGCTGTTTCTAGACATACAATTATTCACATAGGAAAAAAGCACATTGATTTAAAAAAAAAAAGAAAGAAAACAATAAAAGGATAGGAAAGGAAAGGAAAAAAGAAAAAAACACACACAAGACACTGTTGTTAGCATTGATATTCACAGGATGGGTTAGGGAACAAGTTCACGCTAATGGCAACGTGCGGGCTCCCTCTTCCTAGACCTAGATTATCACTGAGGACTAGGGCAGGAGGAAAGAGAGGGCCCTTTAATTACTTACCAAAACAAATGGCTGAACGTTATTATCAGACAGTGAAGTTACTTTCTAAATGTGGACTTAAAGCATATAGTACGTGTCCATGTGTTAAATGCCCAGCATACCTAATTCCATAGGAACATTTTCTCTCCCATTAACCAAAAAGAATGGAATTCCCATTGAGGTGGAGATGGAATTAGGGATGATGCTTGTTCATGTGCTGGTTGGAAACTAGAGAATGTCTGTGGTGAAGGGCATAGAAAAACTGGGGGCCAAATTTTTTTCACTTATAAGAGAGAAGGACAATGAAGGAGAAAGAGGGTAAAGAACCCAGTCGGACCTCGACATCTTGCTGAGATTTAAATTAAATAAAAAATAGCTCTAGACAATCAAATGTAAATTCCTCTCGTTCATAAAATGCTCTACTTCCTTGCCACCCAAGCATCCTCACTGATTAATATTCGATCACCAAAATGTTCTTCTAAACATGGTTACAGAGCAAAGCACGACTCCGTGCCTCGCTGGGAGACCTCTTCCACTAGACCTCTGAATCTAAACTCCCTCCCTCTCTTCACCTGGGACAACATGGAAACATCTTTTTCTTTCCATTATATTGACTGAATATTCAAATATTATTCATGTGACATTTGGGGAAATAAATGATACTAATAAAACATCCAGCCACATCCTATGATTCTGTCCCACTGATTTGTCAGGCAAATCTCTTTGCTTGGATGATCAACAAGGGAAACTTTTGAACTAAGGAACTTTTCAAGTAAAATTCTTTGAAAATGAGAAGGTAGTACTGACCCATAACCTCTGCACACAACTAAGACAGTTGTAAAGGGCCCTCAAAGCAGAGGCAGCTAAGTTCAAATGTCCCAGGTGCTGAAACATGCATTTCTTTGGCTCTGCGGGACCCTCTGTGGGCAGAGTCACTGCAAATCCAGACCCACTGTCACTACTGCACAGTTGGCGCCACTGCTGCTTTCCTTTTTGGAGTCAGGACCCAAGCTGCAGTTTTTTCCAAAGAAAACAGAATTTAGACCACTGTGTTTATTATTTTTTTTCAGTCTCTTTTACTGCACACAAGAGCAGGAAAGCTGCCCAGCCCCTCACCTCTCTCCTCAAAGCCCAAACGCAGTGCTCAGTTTTCACTGTGGAGAAAATCAGTATCACCGGAGAACCTAACCTGTGCCGGCTCTGCTGCTACACCAAGTCAACTCAGAGCTCCCTCAGCTACGAAGCTGGTCTAGTCCTTCATTCAGCAAACATTTAATGAACTTCGCCACATACCAGGCACTGCGCTAGGTGCTGAGGACACAAGACGAGGGGGACAGGTCCTGCCCCACCCAGGAGGGAGACTGGCACGCTACAAGTAAGAATACTACAAAGAGATTCTATGGAATAAAGACTGACGGGCTTTCAAAGCAGAGGGGCGAGAACAGTAATTCCCAGGAGATGCTAGGATGAGGACAAAGAATTTAAGAAAAGGTGGCATGTAAATTACAGGGAGACTACACTCACTAGAAGGCCAGCTCTTGTACTAACTCAACACAGAATCACCTGCAAGGCTTATGACAATAAAGGCAGATTCCCAGGCCCCACCCTTAGAGAGTCTAGCTCAGTGGCCTGGGGTGGGACCAAGGAATCAGCATGTTCTACAAGCCTCAGAAGTCATCCTGGCCACAGTCCTTGGCTCATGGGCTGAGAAATACCATTCAATGATCACTGGTCAATGATCAGTACAGAAAGGCTTCTCAAAGGTTCTTGCCAGCTCTAAAATGTCATGATTACTTGATTAGGTCATAAATTCAGTAAATTGATGACAGATGGGTCCCTTTATGCTGTCATCTTATCTCTACATGTATATGAAAATCCACAGAATCTAATGTAATCCATGGGATTTTGCCCCTCCTAAGGAGAGAGCTGCTCAGGCCCCTCCCTCCCGGACTCTAGGAACAATGCAGCAAGAACAGAGTAAACTGTGATCAAGAAGAGACCATAGTCCTAAGAAAAAGACCCTCCCTTGCTTTGACCCACTCCCCACCCAGACACCCATACTCTCTTAAGGAACCTGGAAACGCCTTCAGCTGGAAAAATTCCAAGTAAGACTTGTCTATGAGCCAACAGTTATCCATTAAAACATTTTGTGTAGCTCCCTCTTCTCTCTAAAATTCAACGTCCAAATAATTTGGAACAAATTGATGGGCTGGGGGAGACCATCATGTGCCAAATTTTAGCAGCAAATGCTTCCCGGCCAGTTTATAAACTTTCAAAAATACTGCTGGCGTACACAGAGGAAACATCACGCGTCACGCTTAACACTTCCCTGGTGAACTTTGGAATGTGCGATATAAAATTTTCAAACTGTAAGGAAGCCTTCAGTCTCAAACTTTTGTGCAGCTGAGTCAACAGATTTGGCACTTTTTTATTTGATTTTTTTTTTAAAGCCAGCTCAGGATAAGGCTAAATAAAATATGCATTTCTAACACGACATATTACAAGTTTCTTCTCGCCCTTAACATTTTGCTTTCTCTCATGTTTCCAAACTAGTCGAAATATATTCTGTTCAGGGATCAGAGAAATGGCATCAGATTAATAATCATTTCTCTTCGACTGTTATTAGCACTTAAGACAAGGTTATTAAGAGAAGTCATTTTGTAGAAGGCTCTGAGTATGACACAGGCCTCCCCTAGAGTGAGATGAAGAGACTGGAGGCCCTCCAAGCCCCTGATACACACGTAGTGAAGCTTGGGCTAGGGGTAGGGGTCAGCAGACCTCCATTCAAGCTCGACTCCCAGGGACACTCTGTGTCTCAGTGTCGTCAAACGTAAGGCAGGAATGAGAACTTTCGCACAGGCGCACAGAGTTTTATGAGTAAGGAGGGAAGGCATGAGGCTGGCCCTGTAGGCACTCCATTACCCTTAGTGCCTCTGCTTTAATACCTGTGTCAGCACCTGCACGACCAGGAATGTGGCAGGCTGTCTTTCAAGCCCCACCTCTCTTTCCTCTCCTCTCTACCCACCTGCCCATCCCGCTGCTCCTATAATTTTAACTTATTGTCTTTTAAATCCGCTTAGTTCTTTGGCTTAGTGTATGGCCTTATGTACAGGGAAGCAAATAACTGAAAGGTTGATCTGAGGAACCCACTGGTTTATTAAAGTGCTTGGATAGGAGTCACTCTCGCTCTGAAACTCCAAAAATGACATATCCGTTAACAAGGTTCTTGGAGAGATGAGGCTGTGTCCAGCACAACGGCTCGGTTAGCAACACAACAGGGGAACAGAACAACGCAAGGTGCAAAGTCAGCCAGTGCAGGGGCAGAGGGCAGGAGCTGGAGCTGGAGCCCTGGATGCATGCCCGCCCGACACCACGTGCGTGCTGACTCAATGCACTGAGCCCAGTCACCTCTTCTCCTAAACGGGAAATGTAACAGCTGTCCTCCCTGACACATGAAGAGTCTTGAAGGGAGCATGGGAAGTGACATTTATGAAAATACCCTGAAAGTCACAGTAAGGCATGAAGGGCCGCTGGGAGGCTGAGCGGTGGGGATGTGTGAGGGAGAGGAAGTGGGACGGGTGGGTGGTGGGACACAGTCTGAGCCTGGGAATGGGGCCTGGGCAGTGAGTGGGAGGGGGTGGACGCAGGCACAGATGGGGCCCGAACAGGCGATGATGGGCATCAGGGGAAGGCTCAAGGATTTGAAGCAGGCACTGCTACCTGATTCCCCGCAGGGTGGCAGCCCACCTGTGCTGTGTTCTTCCCAAGACTTTTTGCAGAAAACATAAAACAAAAGCCTACCATGTTAATCAAAGCCCAGGGATGCCTTCTTTGGATTTAACCCCACCCACACCTCAGCCTCAAGAGGTGTGTGGGCTTTGAGATGAACTTCATTTCTTCCACATACAAGAGATAAGAAGTTCACTGAACAGAAATATTATCTCAGATCTCCTCATCTCTGGACAAAAAGAAAACAGGCAGACTGAGATCCCAAAGCCAGGGGAGCTGAGTGAGAAGAACTCTGGCCTAGAATTCAGGATGATGCGGGAACTGTGAGTTCTAGACGCAGTGTGGCTGCCAGACGCTGGCCTCTGTGCCTTGGACTCTCTGTCTGTGAGGGATGGACACTGGTACCCAATGCTCCCTTCCACCCTGGCATTCTCTGGTCGTAGGGCACTCCTGGGGGTGAAGACGGTAAAGGGCTGCAATAGGGGGATGAAGCTCTGGAATAGAGAAAGATTCCAACAGAGATGCCAGGAGCCAAGCTGTACAGGTGAGGAAGAGAGAGGATCTCTGGGCCTTACTGAGGAGAGCACAGGGGCTTCCTGGCCAGCTCAGCTACCGGGAGACCACTCTGCAGTCCAGGGAGAAATGCCAAGAGGCAACTGGGCCGGGATGGAAGAGGTCTGCACTTAACGCTAAGCTCCATGAGGAGCAGGGCTGTGTTGTTCACTTTTAGCCTCCAGCACACCTAACACAAGGTGAATAAATGAGTGGAAGGGATTTCCTCAAGGAGTAGGAATATTATATTAATCGGAAGTTATCAAAATTGCCCAGTGATAAGCAAAGTCCTGTGTAGTTCAGTGGAACTGAAGTGCATGTCTGATCATCAGGGCCAAGTACCAACAAACCAAGGCCCTGGTCTGTCAATGGGGGTACAGCCGGCCCCAACCCATCACTTGAAAGACGGAGGATTTGAGGCCTAGGCGGGGTGAGATGCCAAAACTCAGGAACAACAAGGATGTGGCTGGAATGTAGGTCTTCCTGCCTCCCAGAGAAGAGCAAGTCAATTAATCGAAGATGCTGTCTACTTTTAAAGACAGGAAGGGCAATAATAGCTACAAACACGTAGAGAAGCTTGGGGGTAAGAGATACAGTTCAAACTCCTACCATGTCCTCCCAGAAAAAGAAAATGAGTTGTTTAAAGAAGAAAAGAGCATGACCAGAAAAAGGCAGAAATGCCCGTGTGTCAGGGACCAAATCTCTTTTCTCCAAAACAGCCATTACTTAACCGTGACCTTTCCCAACTGTAATTCTCTTGAATATTTTGTTATCAGGATTCACAAAGGTTTGCTGCAGGAATCTCTATTAATAAGTACCATGATGAAAATTTTTAATACCTCAAAATTCTTTGTTTAAACATCAGATTTCTTCCTCAGGGATAGCACAAATGTATGCTGCTCATTATTTCTAAAATAATGTCACTTCTGCTAAATAAACAGATTTTTTAAAATTAGAAATTAAGTATTTAAGGGCTCTCAAGGGTTATTCCGCAGATAGTCTCTCCATGCAATCAAATGAGCTCAAGGATATTAATAAGATATGCAGTAATTATAACACGCCTGGCCAAGAGACGTTCTTCTGTGTGTAAATATTTTATGGAACCAGCACCGTGCAGTGGCACCCACAGAGGAAAGTAGTGCCCCAGGGAGCCCCAGGGAATCTTAACCACTTCTCATTAATCAGCCTCTCTTACTTTCTGTACCTGAAAGGGTATTTCAAGAGACCAAAAGCCATTAAAAAATGAAAACATCCCTGAAAGGTGGTATTAACACTATTCACTAAGAGGAAGCATTTTGGAGGTTTCAAATGCAACATGCATGATAATCAAACAGCTTACCTTGAAGACCTGTTGGGGCAGAAGCAATGAGTCTAAAGAGAAATCACAAGTTACATCCACTCTACTAAGCCATTAAAAATATACTCCATTTTACCTCGTTCTCCGGGGTGGGAGATGGCGTTACAGAACTAAGTGACCCTTTCCTAGAACCCTGAAGGTCTGCTGGGATGGAGACAGGGCGTTCCCACTGAGTCGTCCCTGTTGGTATGTGCCAGTAGTAGGTCCCAGCAATGTCATTGACTCTTTTCCAGCCAGGTGGCAAATCTGGATCGGTCTGAAAGGAATGATCACTCCATACATCTACTGGAAAATGGAAAAAAAAAAAAGGAAAAAAAAGAGAGAGGGTTTTATTAAAAGAGAAAACAATTACAGTCTTCCAATTTCAGTACCAATCATCAGGAGAATTTTGCAGGCAGATGTGTCCACAGCCCAAATGAGAACTCGAGTCATCCTACAGGTACAAAGCACGATAAGAGGGACAATGTGGAAAGAAACAAGGGAAGAACTGGAAGGTTGACACCTGAGAATATGGATATAAAGGACCTACTATCAAGTCGTCTTACAGCTTCAAGAACCCTATGAATAGGCTAAGATCCCTTAGTCAGAATCAAGTATTTGTAAGATTACACACAAAATCTACTGTATTCCTTTGTAAATTAGTAGGATTTACTGGTTGGCATCATATACCATTCCCACAATGGGTACAACTCTGATTTTTTTTTAACTGCTTTCTATAAGTGAGTACTGGATTCCCTCCCATTTGACAATAAACATCTACAAAGTAGTCATGTCTTTTGTAATACTCTAGAATTCTAAATTGCACACAGAAGATTTCCAAGAAAAGCAGGTTGAAAAGTCTTGGAATTCAAGACTCTAGAAACAGGCCAATGATGAAAATACATGAAGGAAGGTAGGTGTGGAATACAGAAGAGAATGGTGGGGACTGTGGCAAACTGGTAAGCATGTGCAAAATCCAAAGGCATTTAAATTAAAAAAATAATTTTTTTAAGCACTGTGTGAGGGGTGCAAATAAAATACATCTGCTGGGCAATTTCAGCCATCCCTGGTCTATATCAATATTTTATTAGTTTACTGGATAACTATTTGCTTTAAAAAAATCTCATTTTGGGTCTTCTTTGATTGAATATGAAATGGGTTAAAATGCTAGAGACGAGAGGAGAGAGAAGAGAAAGTAAGAAATCCATAGAGAGGGAGGCAGAATGGAGGACTCAGACAGCTGCATCGACATACCTGTGGTAGGAAAATTTGGTAAACTTGTGCTTTAAATCTGGGGATCACTTAATTCTAAAGATTAGGCCCTTTTCTATGTGGTCATTCACCAGAGGCTGGAGCCCTTACAGCAATTCAAATGAGAAAGTATGTGGATCTTGCTCTGTGCAAATGTCACTGCATCACATGGGCAGGCATCACCAAGGCTATTACAGCCGCAGCAAGAAAAAAAGAAACCAAACAAAGAAGTTGATTAAGACTATGGGCACAGATGTGCATTCATGCGGTCGTTTGGCATCCCAGTATTCACTTTTCTCATTTAAATCTGCCAGAAGCAAAACTGCCACTTGCCTCAAATTATGATGGAAATTTCCCCTCCCCCAAGAGGAGATTAAGCATGATGAAATAATTTCAAGATACCCCAAATTTTCAGAAACAACTTGAAACAAACACGTGAATATACTCCTCTGTCCCCTCTCCTTTTTAGGGGCTGAGGGTTGTTCCTGCTGTTATTTTGTTTTCAGTATTTCCATTGGGGTAAAAAAGGCAAAATACACAGTTCTCAGGATTAAGATGGAGAGAACCCTACCAAGGGTGGTCCCTTGTCCTGTTCCAGTGGCTCACAGACCAAGAGCTTGGGCAAGAAACGAAAAGGATGTAAAGAGGCTGCTCGTTACCACTTCTGTGGTTTTTAAGGCCTGAGGGCCTGAACTGACACATTTATCCCAGTTGCCTCTACAGCTGGGACATAAGCCTACATGAAGAGCACATCCCACCATGAGGACAGGAAATCACGGCAGACCGAGGGCGGAGACCACGGTCAGCAGCCTTTGAGGTCGGCTGTCTGAAGTGGTTGAGACGGGCCTTGGGCTGCATGGCAGGAGCTGGGTTGATCTGCCTTCAACCAAACCCAGACACTCGCTAATATTTGGTTTATATTCCAGTTTCTGCTGAGATTTTGTTGGAATAAAAATTAAAAGGGGGGTTATTCCATTGCTAGAAATTGATGATGATGATGATGATGATGGAGGAAGTGAGGTGGGTACATCTACAATATTATTAACCGTTCAGAATCACTTGTAGAATCCCTTCCACAGCACCTGACACGGGTTGTAAGGGACGTAAGCCTCGTGAGCGCGAGCAGACATCATGTCTGTCTTGTTCACCATCACAGTCCCAACACCAAGCATGGCAGGTATTCAGTGACAGTGAGCTGGGTGAATGGTGGACAGATGGTAGATCTGGATGGACAGACAGATAACGTAGGTGCAAGAAAAGAAGATAGGAAGGAAAAGCAGGCAAAGAGGAGGAAGAAATAAGCGAATGAAGTCCTGAATGATGACAATTAAACTTGGCACTCAGTGAAAGAGGAATTCTGAAGAAATCAGCTCTGTGCAGTTTCATAAAACAGAGCAACCTCACCACGCCCAGGAATACTAGCTTCTAGTTAAAAGCAATGTCTACTTCCCCTGTAGGTGTATGTGAATGTTCTTATGGACAAAAAGAAACACTAATATAACATGATAAATTCCAAAGGATCATGGGCTGGAGTTGAGATTTTGTTTCTTTTTTTTTTATTGATAGGTTCCATGGAATAGTAAGAAATACGCCTTCTGAGGTGTCTCAGTGTCATTACACTTCATTTTGTTTCATCTTTATAGCCCCAATTTGCTTTCTTTTCCTAAATGAAACTATGTGCACACTATTTAAGTGTACGTAATAAGTACCCTGGACCTTACTCAACAGGTCAGTGGTTTTCAAATGTTTTCAAATTGGGGACAAAGACAGGTGGAATTCCAGGCCCATCCAGAGCCTCTTATCCATAGTGGTACTACTTTTACCTGTTTTAAATATTGGTCTTGTGTGTATGATTCTCCTTGAAAACAGAGATCAGTTGTTTTTTGTTTTTAAAATTTTGCTTAAAATAACAATTTGGAACCATAGCTAAGGCAAGAGCATAGCAGGACCAAGACATCTAAACGCCAAGAAGCTGCTTCTGCCATAGGGATTGTTCAAAATGTTGCAGAGCAGCTTAAAATGGTTGCCCTCAAATGGGGACCAGAGTGGACAAGGCATGAAGGAGGACATGCAGACTGTGACACGCTCAGGGAACTCTGTCAACACCAGATGATTAGAGGAGAAAGTTCCAACCCCCTTTGATTCTCAGAAAATTACTTAGGGAAGCTTTGCTGGAAACGTTGGAGCTGAGGCTACGGAAAGGAAAGGGTGGCTGGCAGTTTCACTGTCCTCCTGATTCTCAGCAGTTTTCTCAAACTGAGTGTCTATCATGCACCCCTCCTTGTCAGATCTGCTCAGTGTCCTGAAATCACAACATGGTGTTCTGAGATTTCAGCGGGAATAGCCTGATATTCCACACCGCAGGACTCCTTTCTTTCTGGGTGAGTCACTTTGCCACAGTAACCTGGGGCGGTGATTCCATCTCAGAGTCGCTCAACCTAAGGACTGGAACTCAGACCAACTGTGGGGTTACAGAAGAGTTAAAGCGGCGGAATCTGCAGAAAGGCTGCAGAAGATGTTTGAATAGCCCAGTGAGAGTAGAAATGAGGGGAGTCAGCAAAGATGCTAGAGATGGCATCATGCAGCCGGGCACAGAAACCGGGAGGGTCAACTCTGTGCAGGGCCGTCCCATCTTGACTAAGCCACTCACTAAGTAAATGGCTTTGAACAAGTTACTCAGCCTCTTTGGGCTTCAGATGCTTATCGGTAAAAGGGGGATCAAAACTGTAACTGCCTGGCTGAGGAGTGTGTACAACACTCAGAATAAAGGCTGGCATGTAACGGGCATGTTCACTACACAAATGTTCACTGTCACTGCTTTTGCTATTATCATTATTACTACATATTACAGGTCTCCAAAGCCAAAAATATAATGATATATTAAGGTCACTAAAGCCACCCAAAAGAAAATATTGTCATATGTCCAAAGGAAAATGCTCACTACAGAACGTATGGGAGTAACTGATCACCATGGCTGAAAGAATGAGGATAAAAGAAGCTAATCTGATGGTGACTCTGTCCCTGGAGAAGGTCAACCAGACTCCCTGAGCAGGGCTGGACTCCGAGGACCTGAGGAGGCCGGACAAGACCAGATCCTACATGCCTTGCTGGGCTTCTTCCGGTCAAGCACCATGCCCTGAACCCCGTGCCTCTGTTTCACAGAAGCCTTCTCTTTCTCCAAGTGTATGTTGTGTCTGTCTGTCTCTCCATGAATGTGGAAGTAAAAAAATAAATATTTCATAATTTTTAAAATAAAGATGTCTCCTATCGTCTATTTTGAAGCAGATTTGCTAAAGGTTTCTGAGGTTTCTCTCAAACACAAGACATCCCCAAATGAATACAGTTGTCTTGTATCTGTAATGATTCTTGAGTTTTTCCCCCCACTGTGGGTCTGGGGCCTTCATCAGGGAAAAAAAAAAAGTATGGCATGTCTTCACATCCACCACTACATCAGCGGCTCACATCAATTCCAGCCAGAAGGCGGGGGGGGGGGATTATTAGCAAGTCAGGACAAGAATCTGGGCCTTTCAAGGCTCACACCCAAGTTCCATTAATGCAGCCATGTGTTTCTCAGGAGGGTAACAATGATACCGGTGATAACAGTAAAAGTAACAGGGATGCTGGCGCTGACTGTGGGCTGAATTACCCAGCTCCTCCTTATTGTTTCTTTTTTATTTAGTTAGTTTTTGAAGAATTTTAAAATTACTTTTATGTACAGAAAACTCAACAGTGTACACCTAGCCAGTTTGGTGGCCAGTTTTTTTGTCCTTATTGCTTCTTTATCGCAGGAGCTCGTGGAGTGGCCACTGCTGCCCTGTGAAGGGCACACTAGTGTCATTCCGTTTCTCAGGCTCGGAGAGGACAGCCACTTGGTTTAAAGCCAAGGGAGTAAACTATATCCCTATGTAGAAATGGGTGTTACTTTTTCAGAGATCTGAAGAAAATCAGTATGGACAGTTTGGGGGAATTTAGAAGGTGAATAAATAAGGGTAGAAACAAAAGAAAGAACACAATGGCTTCAAGTCTGAGGTGATGAGACCAGCCAGTTGACCTAA